CCCCTTCAAGTGTTCCTCTCTGCCAGTACCCCCTACTCCATCCCCCATCCTAACATCTTCCCGAATTTCACCGACTTGCTACGGTTTTTCTGGAAGTTTTAGTTGTTTTTTTTTCAAAGCTCTAGTTTCGTCAGAAAATCTACAGGTGTGCGCGAGTAGGAGGAGCAGGGGATGTATGAGTAGCGTCCTTTGAAGCACTGCACGAGAAAAACCGGGATAGTCGACAATCGAAAACATTTTTCTTCTCAAAACAATTACCACCCACCTCAGCGGACCAAATGCGTTTCCTACCTTCGCTAGGGATCCCAACGTACGACGTGTCCTGGCCATTATACGTTAATTCCCGCATCTTTCATACTCCTTTTCCTCTAGTCAGCAGTAGCATTATTCAGTAACCTTGTAACGTCCAAGTTTCCTGATTCCGTATTTTCTCAACTTTGTACCATAAGGATTCCCAAGGGTTTCGGGAAAAAGGTTAGTCTCTCGGTGAAAGATGCGGTCCGTAATTGGTTTGACCACCTTCATATTTCGAACTGGCCACTAGGAGAATCGGCCATCCAGCGTTTTGAGCCACTCAGCGTTTCGGACGATTGCAGATCAAGAGAGTGGATCGGTATCGATTGGCACCGGCAGAATCCCCTTATCGCAAAGTAGACGCGCCCATAAATGCCCTGATTGGTATCCTAACAAAAGGCGTACCGTTATCTCACCACTTTTATTTTCAATTTAGGAGACATGTCGTTCATATTTTTTTTCACTGAATATTGCTCTTTGGACTTCCCTTCCATTTAGTTACTGACCAAGCTGGAAACCGTTCTATGTGATGAAGGTGTGCGAAGTGCTAGTGGGACTGCTCTTCCTTACCACATGTTCTGTCGTTGCTGTCATTAGCTGACTGCACTCACTCGTTGACTGCCCGACTTGTCTCGGACTTGATCTACCCAAAGCTTGTCCAGCCTGCCAAGGACCACTACGAAATGCTGAAGGAGGTTTTCAGTGGTGTTAATAAGGTGAGCTCTCCTCGTTTTGCTCCTGTTTTCCCGTTGAGCTCATTCAGGCAAGGCGCTGGCAGTCTTGTTCGGCGTGTGCTTGAAGGGGCCTGTTAGGTGGGTAGGGTTTGGCGCCGCCCAAACCCATTCAGGCTGACACGCTTCATCATCCGCAACTAAAGGCTGTGTAGTTATTAGCTTATATAATCACTTTTTTCTTGCAGATGCGCACAAACTGGAGTGAAATTCTCGGTCCAAAGTATACTGGACAAGTACAGGCATTCCTTGAACAGACACTTCTCACATTTTTGCTCACTTTCATCGACAAGGTACTTTCGCAGCAACCCCGCGATTTTTTTACTTTTTCGTAAGTGCCACTAGTTTCTGGCAAATCTTCGATTTACCAGTGTATGGGTACGGTAGCCGTGCCAACGAATACAACAATGTTCCATCGTTGTTTCACAGCAACGCAAGAATTTGTTGAGAATTGGCCTCCCCACCCGCATTCAAGGTATTCGTTCATATTACCGGTTATTTCTTTACCAGTCTGGCTGACGCGCACTACTGCGCGCATGGTTAAACCCATGGTACTACGATAACTGACAGGATTTCTGTCCTGAGCACTAACACAGCCTAATTCCCATGTTTCGAAACGGCCCATTTCATCATGTTTCTCCATTAATGAACATTTGCCAGTGTTTGGTGCCTATCATATTTCTAAAGCACCATTCGTTGGAAATAGGACAGCATAGCGGTGGGAAGAATTTCGATGATAAAAAAGTCGAAATCATAGTGGCTCTTATCATTCCTCACTGGCCAACAATTCCCTTTCCGGTGAAACTCGAGCGTTTAGCGGTGGAAGCAATTCCGACCGCTAAACTGAGGGATATTGCTAGGAATAGAAATTTGGCCACGATGATGTGAGCATATACGGAGTCCCAAAAGCCGTTGTCGGACACTGACAGAATTTATCTCCCACCTTTAATGTTCCCTGAGCACCCCTGAATTACTTGCTGGAGCAGTTCCACAGTGTTGCAACAACTCTGCTGTGAATTTTCGGGGTATCTTATCAGCTCTTATCATATCCTGCCACAAACCAATAATGGTCCCATCCTGCACACCTCTTGGAACCGACGTCCCGTTGTGCTGGTCGACGTTGTGAGTTAGGTGTCCCTACCCTTCTAAGGCTCCTTATGGTATCTTATCAGCTGTTATCAATTCCTGCCACCCACCAATAATGTTCCCATCCTGCCCCCTATCTTACTTCCTGGAACCAAGGTCTCATCGTTGCTGTGGCCCGCGCTATGAA